AACTATACACTAATTTTACAACAGTTAATCCAAACCCCAAAAATTTAGCTTACAAACTTTTTTGAAAATTAATTTTTGTGTTTGTAGTATTTTTGTAATATTTAATAAATGATGATATTTTTGAAATATTTATATAATGGTGGTATTTTTAAGGGTTTTGAATAAAAAATCCCCTCAACTATCGCCAGATCTTGAAAGATCCATTCATCTATTTTTTTAGTAAAAAAACCCATCAACTATATTTCGTTAGTGAAATCAATCTTCCGTCTACAATAACGTGTAATCCCAATAAAAATTGTTGTTTTTTTGTTACATATACGATAAAACGTCTTAAATATTGATCAAAACATCAAATTGTTTATAGTAAAACATCATAAAGTGAATCTTATGACAAAAAAACATGATCATAGGAAATTTCTTTTTTCTATAACACTTTCCAAAGATATTCATCTCCCATCAAATAGCTAGCAGTCATTATAAAAAAAAAAAAATCACCATTCAGTTAGAAGATATATGACCCAAATATATATGAATCTAAATAATGTAACTCCTGTTATTTCACACCATGCATAGAGTGGTTTGATTTTTTTTTTCCTAAACCTAAGCTATTGCCATGCTAAGAAATCGTCACTATGCTTTCTAAAGTATTGACTAGTGAGATCACCTTAAATACATATTATTTCATACGGTATATTAGGTTGCATGCGGATTCTTCACACTTGACTAATAAGACATCTGTGATTTTTATGCGTCAATGTTTAAAAAGTATTATGAGGTATTTCAACACCTTCTATATTTTCATTAATCTCTATTACGTACATATGATAATAAATAAGTTGTATTAGAAAAAAATGGTTGTTATTTTTGAAAATTTAATACGTTTCTATTATTGCTATAGAATCTAAATTTTTTTACAAAAATAAATTCGATAATGGTGACACATTTTAAATCTATTAAAAAATTTGGTGAGCGAAGTTACTCGACAATATATGTACTAAAAAAAGTTGTTGAAAAGTAAAAATTTGAATCACTTTTTTTTTTTGTTAAAAAATTCGGTGAGTGAATCTGTTTATGGTTATATTTGTACTAAAAATAGTTAAATGGTAAAAATTCCAATTGTTTTCTTTATTAAAGGAAAATCAGAAAAATAAAAAAAAAACGATGGTGGAAGGAAGCAGAAAGAGGATTCAGCTTTGAATGTTGTCGAGAGTCGAGACGTTGAGGGATCTCACGTGGCAGTTTCACTCTGATTGGGTCCTTAAACGTCGGCCCACGTGGCATGCCACTTGTCACTTGGACCTCTCTCTCTCTTTACAGGATCAAGTTGAACGAGAGTCGTTGCGTCACATCAAATTCCCCAGCCCCCACCTTCCATTCCATTAACCCCGCTCTTTCCTTTTACTCTCCATA